TGGGTCTATATCGTTGTTCGAGTCTCTCACTTTTAAATAAAAAATTGAATTTTAAATAAAAATGATGTTATAGGGAAAATCCTTTTTTTTAAAAGTCTATCTCGAAAATCGAGATAGGCCTATAGTTCCTTCACCAAAGTTGCTTAGAATTGTGCATAGAATCATCCTAGGGTGCTGGATTTAATCGGAAATATACATTTATTTTTTTGAAGGAGCCAAGTCGGGAATATTTTTAAAGATCCATCAAAGCCCTCCAAATCGTGTATTTTATAAGGAATACGGTATTTTTAAAGCAATATTTTGTCAGGGCCCACCGGAAGTGTATTTTTTAAATAATATTATATTATAATATTTAATATTATTTTCAAAGTCCTTTGTTTTTGTAGGTGGTGTGTAGGTCTGTTTCCTCATAATAACCGATAAAAAATCATTTCGTTTTTGGGCAACTAAAATTGGAAGATATTAAAATTTCAATAATTAAAATCTCCTATTTTCACCAATTTTAAACTCTCTTTTACAACAAGAATAAACATGCATTTTTGTTTGTCTCCTATAAAATACGAACTAAAATTTGTGTGTCCATCTTCCTCCTTTGAAGTTGACAACTAATAATTTGGTTAATCAAACTTCTATGGAGGCTTTGTATGTGTGTGTGTGTTACTAATAAATAATATTTAATTGTGTGTGTATGTATTTTAAACTAATTAAAACAATTTTTAATTTTTATTACACAGTTTTGAATTCAATAAAGGTACAAAACCAAGCGGAACAACTTATCGAACAAGAACAAATTCGTGTAAAATCAAAATGCCGCACACACACACATACATACACTTGCAAATAAAGATGTAAAGTGTGATTTTAAAAATACGTACAAATATATTTACGAGAAAACAAATTTGTTTGGGTAGCAGGGTGGGTGGGTGTATGTGTGTGTGTGTATGGGAACGTCTATTACGCGTTGTCCTTGCAATATTGTATTTTATATTGAAATTTATTATGTTTTGTTATTGAGCGCGCAGAGAAATGGCTTCAAGGAAACCAATGAATCGTAGCTAGCAAAGCTAGCTAGATGGCAGGCTGGCTGACTTTGGTTGTTGATAGTTACTATCAACCAACCAACTGGCTGCCATGGCTGAGGAGGGCAGCACACGGGCAGCTTAAAGCGGCCACAAAAAACAAGAGCATCAGCCTCTGTGGCAGAGCAATCGTCTCATATTTTTTATTTCAAAAAAAAATTAAATTGAAAAGCGTTATTTTGGAAGTCTTTACATGAGATGATTATTTTGCGGCTGGTTGGGATTATTGGTGTCATGTTCCACCATTTCTTTCGCATCTAAACAAATAGCCAACAAATAGAAAAAGAATATTTTTTCAAGGCCTATATAAGGCGTGGATTTTTTAAAGAATATTTTCCAGGATCCTTTAAGGCGAGGATTTTTAAAAGAATATTTTTCCAGGGTCCTTTAAGATGTGGATTTTTAAAGAATATTTTTCCAGGGTCCTTTGAGGTGTGGATTTATTACAGAATATTTTCTCAATGCCTATATAAGGCTTGGATTTTTTAAAGAATATTTTTTTAAGATCATACAAGGCGTGGATTTTTTAAAGAATATTTTTTTAAGGGTCATATAAGGCGGGATGGCGTAGAGGATGGTTGATACCAAGCAATGGCTCTGATTGCCTTTAACATGGCGAAGTCCAGGCTTATCTTATTCCCTCTTTCATATCAATTGTGGACACTAACTTAACCGCGGTACCACCTGGGGACCTATTTTTCATCACCCGATGAAATAGTGACCTAATATGTGCGGCGAGTTCTCTCATAAGAACTATAACAAGTGAAAAAGCGTTAAGTTCGGCCGGGCCGAACTTTGGATACCCTTCACCATAGATATACTGACAGGTACTAGAAATGAAAATATAGGGAACCCAATGTATTAAATTTCAGCGTATTCGGTTGAAAAACGCGCTCAAGAACCCCAAAATACCGAAAATTGGGGGGTACCCTTATATGGGGGATATCCGAAAAAATTGACCTATATTTATAATTTTATGTGGAGAGATTTTGTACCTATTAAGAACTCGAAATGCTAAATTACTGCCAATTCGGTGAAAAAATACGACCAAAACCCCCAAAATACTGAAAATTAGGAGGTACCGTTATATGGGGGCTACCAGAAAATGTGGACCTATACTTATAATTTTTTGTGGGGACATTTAGTACCCAATAAGAACCCAATGTACCAAATTTCAGCGTATTCGGTTAAAAACGCGCTCAAGAACCCCAAAATACCGAAAATTGGGGGGTACCGTTATATGGGAGCTATGCCTAAACGTGGACCGATATATCCCATCTTCGAACTTGACCTGCCTGCAGACAAAAGACAACCCTATGCAAAATTTCAGCACCCTATCTCAATTCCTTCAGAAGATATGGTGGAGGGTATAAAAAATGTATAAAGGACCACGATCTGAGAATCTGCACTTGGAATGTGCGCACCTTGTACAGAACAGGAGCAGTTTTCGATTTGGCGGATGTAATCAAGAAGCACAAATCCGATATTATTGCCTTACAGGAAAGGGACTGGCGTAAGTAAATCAGATGATTTACGCCCTTTATTATAGCTGTCATGAAACGAGACATGAATTTGGCTGCGGCTTAATGGTTAACAGGAGAATAAAAGACCTCGTCTCCAGAGTCACTCCAGTAGATGAGCGAATTGCTATAATCCGTATAAAAGCGAAGTTGTTCTACATCAGTCTCATTTGCGCCCATGCTCCGACCGAAGATAAAGATGAACAGACCAAAGACATATTTTACGAGCGCCTAGAAACAGCATATGATCGTTGCCCTGGTCATGGCAATGGAAGGGAAAATACCTTTGGCCCCACCGTCGGAAAATTCTGCCTCCATGAAGAAACATCAGACAACGGCATGAGGTTGATTGACTTCGTGGCAGCAAAAAAACATGGTAGTTAGAAGCACCAGATTAAAGCATATCGATACACACAAGGACACTAGGATTTCTCTCTAGATACAGCATATGATCGTTGCCCTGGCCATGACATTAAAATTCTGCTAGGAGATTTTAATGCAAAAATCGGAAGGGAAAATATCTTTGGCCCAAGCGTCGGAAAATTCCATGACTCCATGAAGAAACATCAGACAACGGCATGAGGTTGATTCGCGGTAGCAAAAAACCATGGTAGTTAGCAGCACCAGATTCAAGCACCTCGATATACACAAGGCCACTTGGATTTCTACCGATCGAACAAAGGGAAATCAAATCGATCATGTTGTGATATACGGAAGGCATTCATCCAGTGTTTTAGACGTCTGATCGATCCGGGGAGCGAATATCTCTCTATATATCTATTCCGACCATTACATTGTGGCAGCCGTCTTAATGTAGCAGCAGAGGTGCGATCTAATGTAATACGGAAATTTACCGTCGAAAATCTGGGAACACAACAGGTAGCCGAGACCTACTCCGCTCAACTTACCCAACTGTTTGACAAAATCATACCCTTGTCGTGATAATAATATAGAAGCACAATGGCAAAGAATTGCCCACTCCCTACAAACTGCAGTTAAGGAACACTTGGGTACCAAAGACCACCATCAAAAAATCCGTGGTACGATCAGGAGTGTCGTAATGCTACTGATATGAAAAACGCAGCGTATAGGGCAACCCTGTGGACAGTAGCAAAACGTAATGCGATGCAGAATTATCTGGAGAAAGGGAGAAACGTATTTTCAGAAAAAAGAAGAAAGGACAAGAAAAACGTGAGCAAATCGAGATGTACAGGAGTCAGAAAAAAGTCCGAACATTCTACCAACGGGTAAAACGCCAAACCGAAGGCTTTGGCGCAGGCACATCCTCCTGTAGAGATGACGAAGAAAACCTGGGCCGATCTGCGTTGACGGTAAATATCGCCGTCGAATGAACCATGAGCTGTACCAGCTACTCTTGGACACCGGCATTGTTAGACGTATTAAGCTGCAGCGACTACGTTGGCTAGGTCATGTTGTGAGATTGGATGAAGATGCCCCAGCCCAGATGGCATATAAAAGCGAACCAGCTGATGATTCACGCAGAAGGGGAAGGCCACGAATACGATGGAAAGATCAAGACGAAGACAACATTGCCGAATATGGTCTTTCAAATTGGAAAAACTTCGCAAAAGACCGACGCGTCTGGAAATCTTTTCTAAGCTCGGCTTATGAAATGAAAGTTCTGTCACAAGCCAGCTATGTAAATATACATGGCGTGGATTTTTCAAAGAATATTTTTTCAATGCCTATATAAGGCGTGACTTTTTAAAAAATATTTTTTTCAGGAATATTTTTCCAGGGTCCTTTAAGGTGTCCATTTTTTTAAAGAATATTTCAAGGCCTATATAATATTAACAAAATATTTTTACTTCAAAATTTCTGCCCTGCATAAAATACATACATACAAAATATAGGCCAATACCTCATATTTATTTATTTGGCCTGAATAAATTAGTCATGAGATGTACGAGTAGTGATGTCTGTATTAAGGCAGTACAGTCCGTCTGTCTGTTCAGCCAGTTGTTCCACAAAGAGAGGAGAGTAGCGAAAAGTTGTTATTAAGCGCACAGAAAATCAAAGTCAGCAGGTCAGCATCAGAATTGTTCTGCAAGTCCCATTCAATCTCATTTAGCTGAGCACAACCGTAATGAGTTATAACTCGGTTCACCTCAAAACACTCAATACCAAAAGAAAAAAGAGCTCCAAAAATATCTACACACACAGAGAGACACATAGTCATAGCCATAGTATCCGTGTGTGGGGGGGGAGCGAGGAGGCCAAGCACGTGTGTTACCTACTTCGTTGTAATATCGAGTCGAATAATACGAATAATAATTTTGAGGGAAGTGTATTTTGTGTGCGGGTGGGTGGGTGCGCGTGTAACCTGTGTAACTTTGTGTAGTAACCGAATAATCTGGAAAATTTTTGTAACACCACCTACCTGTTGCTGCTTCGGGTTGTACCTGTTGCTTAACCGTTTCGATTAGTTTTTGCGATACACCTTCGCCACCACTTTCATTATTTCTTTGCAGATCATGCATTTTAGCGATGCTATCCGAAAAACTGGCATCTGCCTGACCGGATGTTAGGGGTCTTATGGCAGGTGTGGTGGGCTTATAAAGCAATGATTCAGGCATTGGCGGAGGCGGTGGTGGCGCTACTATAGGCCTATCCACAGCTGGCTGTTCTATTACATTGGCATTTTTCAACTTCGCCAATTCATTTTCAGCCGCATCGGCTCTAGCTAAAGCTTTGCGCAGCTCATCCTCCATAATCGATAATTTTAGTTGTAAGGTTTTTAGTTCATCGTTAGTAGTTTTTTCTATAGCCGCATCCAAGAGTTTTTGCTACGGGTTAATAGTTTGGATTGGATTGGAGAATGGAGCGTAGTAGGACGAACACAAAAAAAGAACGAGGGCGAAGGGCGGGGCAGAAAGAAAAATATTAGGGTTAGAAAAAAATTAGTACTAAAACTAAAATAGCTTTTTTCTAATTTACAAAATTTTGGGTTTTTTGGGATATAATACAAAAAGAGAGTGTTGCCAGATTGTTTTTGCTTATAAGTAAAAAACCGCAATATAATATAATTGTGAGGGTGTATGGTGTATATAGTAGGGGAACAATTCGGAAAGATACGAAAGCGTTTTGGGTCATCCGATCAATGACTTTGGAAGCATCTTCTTTGCGATAGATAACTTCGGAAGTTCAAAGTTCTACAACGGTATAGAAAATCACTTCGGAAGTCATCTAGGGTATAGGAGATACCTTGGGCAGTAATTTAGGGAAAATGATTTCGGAGGTCATGGGGGATGCCTTCGGAGGTCATCAACGGTACATGAAATCACTTCGAAAGTCATCTAGGGCATAGGAGATGACTTCGAAAATCAGCTATTGTACAGAGAATGACATCGAAAGTTAAACACGGTACAGAGGATGACTTCGAAAACCATATACAGTACAGAGGATGACTTCGGAAGTCATATACGGTACAGAGGACAACTTAGAAAGTCATATAAGGTACAGAGGACAACTTCTAAAGCCATATAAGGCGGAGAAGATGACTTCCGAAGTCATCTGCTGTACAGAAGAAGTCATATATTGTATACGAGATGACTTCGAAAATCATCTAGGGTATAGGAAATGGCTTCGAAAATCATCTACATCATCTACGATACGGGAGATAACTTCGAAAGTCATCTACGATACCTGAGATCACTTCGAAAGATATCTACAGTGCAGGAGATGACTTCGGAAGTCATCTGCGGTATAGGAAATGACTTCGGAGGTCATCAACCGTACATGAGATGACTTCGAAAATCATCTACGGTATCGAAGAAGACTTCGAATATCATCTATGGTATATGAAATGACTTCGAAAGTCATCTACGGAACAGGATATACCTTCGGAAGTCATCAACGGTACAGAGAATGACTTCGGAAGTCATGTACTGTAGATGAGATCACTTCGGAAGTCATGTACTGTAGATGAGATCACTTCGGATGTCATCTAGCGCACAGGAGATGACTTCGAAAGTCAACTACGGACAAAAAAGATGACTTCGAAAATCATCTACAGTATAGGAAATGACTTCGGAGGTTATCTACGGTATAGGAGATAACTTCTACGGTATAGAAGAATACTTCGGAGACCATATGCGATGTAGGAGATGACTTCTAAGTCCTTCTTTGGTATAGAATATGACCTCGGAAGTCGTCTTCGGTACAGAATATGACTTCGGAAGTCTTATATCGTTCAGAGGATGACTTCGGAAGCCATATACTGTATAGGAGATTACCTCGGAAGTCATCTAGGGTACAAGAAATTACTTCATAGGCCATATATGGTATAGGAAATGACTTCGGAAGTAATCTACAGTAGAGAATTTGACTTAGAAGTCGACTATGGTACAGAGAATGACTTCGGAAGTCAGAGGATGTATTCAGAAGTCATATACAGTATAGAAGATGACTTAAAAAATCTTCAGATTACTTCGAAAATCTACGGTATAGGACATGACTTCTGAGGTCATATACTGCAATGAAGATGACTTCGAAGGCCATATAAGGTCCAGAGAATGACTTCGGAAACTATATACTGTATAGGAGATTACTTCGAAGGTAATCTACGGTACATAGAATGACTTCGGGAGTTATATACAGTACCGAGGAAGACTTCGAAAGACACCTACAGTACAGGAAATGACTTCGAAAATCATCTACGGTATAGGAGATGAATTCGAATATATATACAGGAGAGAAAATGACTTCGGGGGTCATCAGCGGTAGATGAGATGACTTCAAATTCACGTACGGTATAGGAGATGACTTCGACTTTCATTAGGTCAGGATCTCCGGATAATGAATCAGCATAGAATTTCTCAGATATTTTTTTCATTCCGAACTGTTCCACCTTATAACTTACTAAAACCCCTAAGAAAAAAATCCCAGCATACATTAAAGCTAAGGTGTTAGTAGAACAATTTTTTTAACAACAAAACAAACAACAAAATTTCATTCCAAAATAAAAACAAGGACAACTAAATCTTGCCTTGGTTTATTTATCCATATTTTGTGTGTTCGGAAACTTTACCGGCCATCACCAACCAGCATCAGCATCTTGATTATCAGTTTGTTATGACTGTATGGTCTGGTCTATGGTTACTTATAGTAAAGAGTTAGGTAGGTTTATACCACCACCACTACATACATATATATAGAAATAGAAATTACTCGTTGGTTGTTTTATTTTGTTCGTTTGTTGGTATATTGAGAGAGAGCGAGTAAAGTTGAGTTATTTTGTTGAGCCACATCACCCACCCCCACAACAATAGCCAAATAACGGAGGAAACAAGGGGCCTTAATTTTTCTTTTCGGAATTTTTCAGAGAGCGGGAATTTTGCCATGGAGATTTAAATTTTGCACATTGGGTTTTTGTGGGGAGTTGTACATTTTTGTTGGTGTGTGGGTGGAGGGCTGGCTGACTGGTTGTTTTCTTTTTGTTGTCTATTGTTTTTCTCCTGCCGTAGCAGCAGCCACTGCCTCAGTTGCTGTACCATTGTTTGGTGGCGTTGCGGTTTGTGTCGGAGTTGTATTACCACCCCTAAATATATTTATGTTTCGGAAGAAACCCGATACACGCTTCAAGCCCTAATTTACCAATTTTGTTATTATAAAATACATAATTGTGTGTGTGCAAAAAGATGGAGATTGAGATTATTATTATAATGGTGTGCAGATTTCATATATATATTTATATATACTTGCATTTATGTAATGGTAGCTTGATGGTACTGTACAAAATGAATTTATTTTAAGCGGTTGGTATTTTTTCAAATGAAATTTAAATGGCAATTAGAATGAATGAATTAAAAATTGTGGCCACTTCTTTTGTGATTTTTTTTTCAATTTGTTGTTGTTATGATTGTGAGATTTTTTTAATTAAATTGTTTTTTCTGGGTGTATATGAATGTGTTGATCTTGTGTGAAAAAAAAGTTGTCACTCAATACACAATGATTGTATTAAATTTAAAATTAATAATTTTATTAAATTTATTAAAGAATTTTTATAAGGGACCATCTCTACAATAGGCATGGATTTTTTTGGGGAATTTTTATAAGGGACCACCTCGAGAATAGGCGTGGATTTTTTTAAAGAATTTTCATAAGGGACCATATCCACAATAGGCGTGGATTTTATAAAGAATTTTTTTAAGAGACTTTCCCCTCTACAGGCGTGGATTTTTTTAAAGAATTTTTTAAGAGACTTTCTCCTCTACAGGCGTGGATTTTTTTAAAATTAATATTTTTCAAAGCCCTGCTGCTCTACAGGCGTGGATTTTTTTAAAGAATTTTTATAGGGGACCATCTCTACAATAGGCGTGGATTTTTAAAGAATTTTTTATAAGGTACCATCTCCACAATAGGCGTGGATTTTTAAAGATTTTTTAGAAGGGACCAACTCTACAATAAGCGTGGATTTTTTAAATAGGCGTGGATTTTATAAAGAATTTTTTAGGGGACCATCTACACAACAGGCGTGGATATTTTAAAGTATTTTTATAGGGGACCATCTCCACATCAGGCGTCGATATTTTAAAGATTTTTTATAAGGGACCAACTCTACAATAACCGGGGATTTTTTAAAGAATTTTTATAAAGGACTGTCTCCACCACAGGCGTGGATTTTTTTAAAGGACCATCTCTACAATAGGCGTCCCTTTTTTAAAGAATTTTTAAAAGGGACCAACTCTATAATAGGCGTGGATTTTTTAAGAATTTTTATAAGGGACTGTCTCCACCACAGGCGTGGATTTTTTAAAGAATTTTTATAAGGGACCATCTCCAACACAGGCGTGGATTTTTTAAAGAATTTTTATAAGGGACTGTCTCCACCACAGGCGTGGATTTTTTAAAGAATTTTTATAAGGGACTGTCTCCACCACAGGCGTGGATTTTTTTAAGAATTTTTATAAAGGACCATGTCCACAATAGGCGTGGATTTTTTTAAGAATTTTTATAAAGGACCATGTCCACAATAGGCGTGGATTTTTTTTAGAGAATTTTCATAAGGGATTTTTTGAAGAAATTCTATAAGGGACCATCTCTACAAAAACCGGAGATTTTTTTAAAGAATTTTTTAAGAATTTTTATAAGTGACCATCTCTACAATAGGCGCGGATTTTTTTAAGAATTTTTATAAGGGACCATCTCTACAACAACCGTCGATTTTTTTAGGTGTGGATTTTTTAAAGAATTTTTATAAGGGACAATCTCCACTACAGGTGTGCATTTTTTCAAGAATTTTCTAACAATCATTGTGTATTGAAATTGCTTCGAAATATCCCCATGTACTTAACCTCTATGCATTGTTGATGGGAATGCGGCGAATGAAATGATCGCTGATGAATTCACCCACCCCAACACAGTAGTTTTATGGCTCTAAACTTACCATTTCAACGATGCGTTCATTATGGTCCCGATTTTGTGACTCAACTTCTTCTTTGATTTGTTCAAATTCCTCATTGGCCTTGGCCGTGGTGGGAGAGGGTGGTATTGGAGTAGTTGGTACAGGTGGTTGTGAGACAGCTGCCGTAGCAGCAGCATCACCACTGGCAACACCATCAGTGGCATCTCGGGTTTTGGCCACTAATTCATCGTTGCGTTGTTTCAATTTAATTAGGGCAGCTTCCATTCTAAACAAAACAAAAACAAAATAATTATTTATTTAAATTTAAAAAACAAAACCCGCTTTCAAAATGAAATTACTTTTTGCTCGTTTCCACACTCTCTTTCATATTTTCCGTTAAAAGTTTTGCCACCTTGGTTAGATTGGTATTTTCCGTGCGTAAGGTTTCATTTTCCTCGTCCAGGTGATGTTGCTACAGGAACAGAGAAATTATACATATAGACGTACATACAAACATTGAAAAAACAACAATAACTGAACTCAATTGTCCAGCATGCGCTGGGGAACACTTACATTCTCAATAAGTTCGGCAATTTTTTCATTGGCTTCGTACAATTGCAATTCCACCGAATTCATGGATGTTTTCAATGCCATAAATTCATCGACCATTTTCTCAACCAATTCACTGGTCAGTGGGGTGGCCAGTGCCGTATCGGCCTCAATTATGCTCTCCATTTCGGCTGTGGTCGCCAATGTGGGCAAAAGTTTCAGTAGTTTCGATTTAAGGCTGTGTGAGCAAACCACCGCATTGGACATATTTTCCTGGCGATCTTTAAGGAGTTGTAACTCTTGGGAGAGGCTGAAGAAGAAAAAATAAAGAGGATTAGTAAATAATGGTGGAATACAAATTCTTAAAAAATCCACGCCTATTGTAGAGATGGTCCCTTATAAAAATTCTTTAACAAATCCACGCCTATTGTAGAGATGGTCCCTTATAAAAATTCTTTAACAAATCCACGCCTATTGTAGAGATGGTCCCTTATAAAAATTCTTTAACAAATCCACGCCTATTGTAGAGATGGTCCCTTATAAAAATTCTTTAACAAATCCACGCCTATTGTAGAGATGGTCCCTTATAAAAATTCTTTAACAAATCCACGCCTATTGTAGAGATGGTCCCTTATAAAAATTCTTTAACAAATCCACGCCTATTGTAGAGATGGTCCCTTATAAAAATTCTTTAACAAATCCACGCCTATTGTAGAGATGGTCCCTTATAAAAATTCTTTAACAAATCCACGCCTATTGTAGAGATGGTCCCTTATAAAAATTCTTTAACAAATCCACGCCTATTGAAGAGATGGTCCCTTATAAAAATTATTTAAAAAATCCACGCCTATTGTAGAGATGGTCCCTTATAAAAATTATTTAAAAAATCCACGCCTATTGTAGAGATGGTCCCTTATAAAAATTCTTTAACAAATCCACGCCTATTGTAGAGATGGTCCCTTATAAAAATTCTTTAACAAATCCACGCCTATTGTAGAGATGGTCCCTTATAAAAATTCTTTAACAAATCCACGCCTATTGTAGAGATGGTCCCTTATAAAAATTCTTTAACAAATCCACGCCTATTGTTAGAGATGGTCCCTTATAAAAATTCTTTAACAAATCCACGCCTATTGTAGAGATGGTCCCTTATAAAAATTCTTTAACAAATCCACGCCTATTGTAGAGATGGTCCCTTATAAAAATTCTTTAACAAATCCACGCCTATTGTAGAGATGGTCCCTTATAAAAATTCTTTAACAAATCCACGCCTATTGTAGAGATGGTCCCTTATAAAAATTCTTTAACAAATCCACGCCTATTGTAGAGATGGTCCCTTATAAAAATTCTTTAACAAATCCACGCCTATTGTAGAGATGGTCCCTTATAAAAATTCTTTAACAAATCCACGCCTATTGTAGAGATGGTCCCTTATAAAAATTCTTTAACAAATCCACGCCTATTGTAGAGATGGTCCCTTATAAAAATTCTTTAACAAATCCACGCCTATTGTAGAGATGGTCCCTTATAAAAATTCTTTAACAAATCCACGCCTATTGTAGAGATGGTCCCTTATAAAAATTCTTTAACAAATCCACGCCTATTGTAGAGATGGTCCCTTATAAAAATTCTTTAACAAATCCACGCCTATTGTAGAGATGGTCCCTTATAAAAATTATTTTAAAAATCCACGCCTATTGTAGAGATGGTCCCTTATAAAAATTATTTAACAAATCCACGCCTATTGTAGAGATGGTCCCTTATAAAAATTATTTAAAAAATCCACGCCTATTGTAGAGATGGTCCCTTATAAAAATTATTTAAAAAATCCACGCCTATTGTAGAGATGGTCCCTTATAAAAATTATTTAAAAAATCCACGCCTATTGTAGAGATGGTCCCTTATAAAAATTCTTTAAAAAATCCACGCCTATTGTAGAGATGGTCCCTTATAAAAATTCTTTAAAAAATCCACGCCTATGGTTATAATGGTCCCTTATAAAAATTCTTTAAAAAATCCACGCCTATGGTTATAATGGTCCCTTATAAAAATTCTTTAAAAAATCCACGCCTATGGTTATAATGGTCCCTTATAAAAATTCTTTAAAAAATCCACGCCTATGGTTATAATGGTCCCTTATAAAAATTCTTTAAAAAATCCACGCCTATGGTTATAATGGTCCCTTATAAAAATTCTTTAAAAAATCCACGCCTATGGTTATAATGGTCCCTTATAAAAATTCTTTAAAAAATCCACGCCTATGGTTATAATGGTCCCTTATAAAAATTCTTTAAAAAATCCACGCCTATGGTTATAATGGTCCCTTATAAAAATTCTTTAAAAAATCCACGCCTATGGTTATAATGGTCCCTTATAAAAATTCTTTAAAAAATCCACGCCTATGGTTATAATGGTCCCTTATAAAAATTCTTTAAAAAATCCACGCCTATGGTTATAATGGTCCCTTATAAAAATTCTTTAAAAAATCCACGCCTATGGTTATAATGGTCCCTTATAAAAATTCTTTAAAAAATCCACGCCTATGGTTATAATGGTCCCTTATAAAAATTCTTTAAAAAATCCACGCCTATGGTTATAATGGTCCCTTATAAAAATTCTTTAAAAAATCCACGCCTATGGTTATAATGGTCCCTTATAAAAATTCTTTAAAAAATCCACGCCAATATTTATAATGGTCCCTTATAGGGTCCCTTATAAAAATTCCTTAACAAATCCACGCCTATTGTGGAGATAGCAGCTTATAGAAATTCTTTAAAAATTAGTCCCTCATAAAAATGCTTTCAAAAATCTCCGGTTATTGTATTGACCCTTATAAAAAATCGAAGCCTTTTAGTGGATCGTCACCTTGTTATATTCTCCGCCTTCATTTTGTGCAACTTATCCAAGGCGTTACGTTCATTTTGCACCTTCTGGAATTTAGCAGTCAAACTCTTAATTTCCATATCCATTTCGGAGTGTTGTTTCTTCATTGCCTCCAATTGTTCGGACATTTTTGAATTCTCCTCCAGCAATTCATTTTGGATTTTTTTGTCTGTAAGAAAACAAAATCGAGGTAAATTTTTAAATTTCAAAATTTCTCTCTACTTACGATCCTCCAATTCCAATTTCAGAGCCTTATTCTCCTCCTTCAGGGCAATATTATCCTCCAACAGAGTAAACAAATCAGTTTCGGGATCTTGTTCATTGTAATCAGGCTCACGTACCCTACTGCGGCTGCGTGTCTTACCCTCTTGAGTACGGAATTTGGCAACTGGTATGCGACCACGTCGTTCCATGGTTTTTCAAAAGATTTTGAAAGCTACTTTGAAATAAAAAGGAAAATTATTAGATTTTGTTTGATTTGTTTAAGTATTTAATTATTCGATTTCAATTCCCATTTTCTGAAAAACTTCCAATTGAAAACCAAAACGGCATTAAGATTGTCTTTAGAGATAAGTACAAATTCAAGGTCATCAATAAGGTCGGTTTTAAGGCTGTCTGTAGTCTGTCTGTCTGTGGGGAGACGCCTTTTAGGCTGTCTGTAGAAACGTTTTTTAGACAGTCTGTGGAGACTGCCTATTGAGACTCCTTTAAGGCTGTCTATTGAGACGCCTTTAAGGCTGTCTATAGAGACGCCTTTAAGGCTGTCTATAGAGACGCCTTTAAGGCTGTCTATAGAGACGCCTGTAAGGCTGTCTATAGAGACGCCATTAAGGCTGTCTATAGAGACGCTTTTAAGACTGTCTATAGAGACGCCTTTAAGGCTGTCTATAGAGACGCCTTTAAGGCTGTCTATAGATACGCCTTTAAGGCTGTCTATAGATACGCCTTTAAGGCTGTCTATAGAGACGCCTTTAAGGCTGTCTATAGAGACGCCTTTAAGGCTGTCTATAGAGACGCCTTTAAGGCTGTCTATAGAGACGCCTTTAAGGCTGTCTATAGAGACGCGTCTGTAGTGACGCCTTTAAGGCTGTCTGTAGTGACGCCTTTAACAATGTCTGTAGTGACACCTTTATAACTGTCTGTATTGACGCCTTTAGAGGCATCTCTGTATTAGACGATGCCTTTAAAGCTGTTTATCGATGACTTTAAGATAATCTGAAGTATTTTTACTACTTACTTTTTAAATATTTTTTTGTAACCTAGTTTTTAATTTTTTTAATAAAACCAGAATTTTTTTTAGAATTTTTTCCTATAATAAGGAAACAATTTTGTTTTTTATTTGTTTTTGTATTTCTTGGTTTTTCTTCTGTACAGAATATAATGTATTGAAAGCCCCCCTTCTCTATTTGTTGTATTATTTTTACTCTTCTTCTTTTATTATTTTTTTAAGTTTTACCTTTTTTGTTTTCAAAATAAAAATACATGGGTTTTGTTTTTTCTTTCTTTTTGTTGTTGTTGTTGTATTCATTTATGATTCCAACACTATCGGATTCCAAAATTTTTTGTAAAAAAAGAAACAATTTTTATGGAGTTGTGGGAAAATGTCAACATTTCATAAATGTGACATTTCTCTGACAGCAGCATCCCCATATATTATATATTTATCAAGTTATCTAGTTTTTTGTTTTTCGTTTTTTCATTTTCTTAAATTGAGGTTAGGTTGAAAGTTGAACCCCAAACTAGGAGGAGGAGAGACAAATCCAATCATCTTGGTATATATTTAATATTAATTAATATTATCGATTAATTAATATTATCGATTAATTAATGTTATAGATTAATTAATATTTATTAATTAATATTATAGCTTAATTGTTTTTTTTTATTTATCGTTTTTAGTTCTTGGTTTCTTTAACTCAGCGTTTGCTTCTTCTTCTTCTTTTGTTTGTTTATTATCATTATTATTTTTTTTTCAACCTCTCAACATGTTGATTTTTTTATATAATTATTTATTATTTCTTATATAATTATTTTCTTATTCTTGTTCTTTTGTTTTTCTTTCTTGTAATAGTAAATTTATTATTAATAATATTTCATTGTTGTTTGTTGTTCACACCATCTTTTATTATTATTAATTAATTGATTTAATTTTTTATTTTATTTTTTAATTTTAATTTTATATGTGTGTGAGTTTGTTTTGTTAATTTTTCTTTTCTTGCTTATATCATCACCCTTTGTATATATTTCTTTTTATTTTTTAATTTTATTTTTATATATTTTTTTGCTAGTTTTTAATGACGTCAAGGGTTTCCATTCTTATATGTGTGTGTGTGTGAAATATTTTTTTTTTAATTTTTTTGTTATGGATTATTTGCTTTTCTTTTGTTAGCATTTTGAATTTCTTTAGATGGAATAGCTATGTATATAATAAAGTTTAGCTATAGTATTTATTATTTAATTTATATATAAGTATTTTTTTTATTTTTTATATAAGTTTTTTTATTTTATTTTTTATATAAGTTTTTTTATTTTATTTTTTATATAAGTATTTTTGTTGTTCTTTTCTTATATAATTGTTTTGTTGTTTTTATTTTTATTTATGTATGTTTGTATGTATTTTGATATATACAGCGATGGACAAAGAAAATTAATTGAAAATTCTTTTCCTAAATATTTTGTTGTTGTTGTTCTTTTTTAATTATCATTTTTTATGCAAGGCATACCTATTTTTTTAATTAAAAAAAAAATAATGACTTTTGAAAAAAATAGTAGATGATGATGGCTGCTTATAAAGAATCCAATTGGAATTTGCGTTTTGAAGGTTTTATTTTTTTTATGTCTCTGGCGAACCTAAAGTCGGGGTTCTTTTGTTGGCCTTATTTTGATTCGATTCGGTCTAAAAACGATGATGATGGCTGCATTTAAAGAATCCAATTGGAATTTGAATTTAATGTCTCAGTAAAGGGGCGAACTTTTACCTGTTTTATAGGTGAGCCTAAAGTCGGGCTTTTTATGTTGAAGGACTTATTGGACAAAAATGTTTAAGATGATGATGATGACTGCATTTCCAGAATTCAATTGGAATTTGAATTTTTAAATTTATATTTCGTTAATGTTTCAGTGGTAAAGGGTCGAGCTATAAGTTGTTTTATAGCTCAGCCTAAAGTCGGGTTGTTTTGTTGACCTTAATTCGATTCGATTTACTGCAGGCGATCTTAAAAGAATGTTGAAGGACTTATTGGAAAACAATTATAAGATGATGGTGACTGCTTTTAAAGAATCCAATTGGAACTTTTTAAAGTATTATGTCTTTAATGTCTCCTTAAAAAATTTGAGGACTTTTAAAACTAGAGTTAAGCGGAGATGTGTTTAAGGCTGCCTATAGAAAGGCCATTAAGGCTGCCTATAAAGAAGAATTAAATTTGATTATATAAACGGCAAGAATGTCGTCGATATAAAAAGCCCTAAAAAAATTGTTTTATAGAAAACTTTTAAGTCGTGCCTGGCCTTAAAGAAGGTCTCAAAACTCTCTCAACTAAAAAAACGGTATAAATATTCAAAATTATTCACCAATAGACGGCTTTAAAGTCGGTTCAATAGACATCCTTTAAATCGTCCCTTAGACCCAGAGCCAACTCTGTCTAAGAGCAATGTCAAAGTCACCTCTGTATATCGTCGATATTAGGCGTCTCTATAGCAGAACTTAAAGTGGCCCTATAGAAGAGGCCTTAAGACCTCTATATAGACGATCTTAAAATCGTTGTCATTATAGAAGTCCTTAAATGTTGCCCTTAAAGTCGCCTCAATAAACGGTCATAAAATCGTCCTTAGAGTCACCTCATAGTTGTCGTTATAGGCGACCTTAAATCCATCCTTAGAGTCACCTTTAATCTGTCTCTATAGATGGCCATAAAATCGTCCTTAGAGTCACTTTAATGTAATCCTTATATAAGTCCTTAAAGACACCTCCATGTCGTGCCTATAGACGGCCATAAAGTCGTCCTTAAATGTACCTCAAAGTTGTCATTATAGATGTTTTTAAATCCGTCTTTAGAGTTACCTTAAATTCGTCCTTATAGACGACCTTAAATTGAACTCTTTATATACACCTTTAAGACGTCTCTATAGACGGTCTTTAAAACGTCATTAGAATCAACGTTGTCCATATAGGCGACCTTAAATTCATCTCAAAGTTGGCATTACATACATCCTTAGAGTCACCTTTTAAGTCGGCCTTATATTCGTCCTTAGAGTTGCATTTAAGTTTTCTCTATAGACTGCTAAAAATCTTATAGAAGCCCTTAAAGACACCTCAAAGTTGTCAAAATAGAAGTCCTTTAATCCATCCTTAAAATTACCGTAAAAATCGTGTTTATAGTCGGCTTTAAATTCGTCCTTAGAATCACCTTTAAGTCTGCTCTATGGACGGCCTTAAAATCATCTAAAAAAATGTCCTTATAGACGTCCTAATATCCATCCTTAGATTCACTTTAAAATCCTGCCAAGAGACAATCGTTGCTAAAAAAAACGATGATTCTGTGAACGCTCTCCACAGGTCTTCTATAAGGGAAAAGTTGCAGATCGTATTTTTTGATTTTAAATGATTTCTATAAAATCGACTTCAAGTTCGGCTATTAAAAAAAATATTATTTTTATTATTTTTTAATGAATATTAAATCAAATTAAAAAAGGAAAACATTTTACAAAAAAACTGAATCAATTTTTTAATTTCTTTTGTTGTTGTTGTTTTTGTTCACATTAAAAAAAACTCAAAATAAATTTTACAAAAAAAAATAAAACAAATTTACACATTCATTGTTATTGTTGTTGTTTTTGTTCATATTAAATTTAAAAAAAAATACATTTAACAAAAACTAATAAAATTTATACAATTTTGTTGTTGTTGTTTTTGTTGCATTTATCGTTTTCAGCTTGGGTAGAACGTTAAAAACGTTATCATCAATAAAGTGGCATAATAATGGTCATTTTTGTTGTTGTTATTATTATATTTGTTGTATTTTTTTTCTTCTTCTAAGAGCTGCCATCATATTATTTTTTTTTTAATTTTTTGTCAAGTTTTATTTTTGTTACTAGCATGCATTGCACATTATTCTTCTTCTTCCTGTTTTTCTTTACGTTTTGTGTGTTTATTTTTTCTGTCCTTGACTGTAGTTTTAAATTTTGTTATATACTAGATGTTTATATATATATATCATACGTATATATATACAGCTGCGAAAAATAAAATAGCACCACCCTTACAAGCAATACATAGGAAAGTGTATCAATTTTTTTTTAAGTTCTATATTCCGTGGTCGTCTGACATATTCTCGAGAACCTTTTCCGCATACAGCACAATCTTCTGTCCATAAAACGTTCCCCCATTAAAGGTATTTGTTTTAACAAAATGAATAGG